ATATATATAGATATTTGTGTGCTTATTTGTTTGTAGGTTCTTGTTGCAAGTTATTCTTGATTTAGATGCATCATAACTTTATCGTAAGTTTTAAATTCTATAAAGCTCGTGTTAGCATTGGTAATAAATATATGATTTTCATAATTAGTGTCTCGTGTTTGCATTGGTAAGAAATCTGTGTTTGTCATAATTAGTGTCTAATGTTTATGAAATTATTTATCTAGATGAAGCATATATTGTGTAGATGATTATGGAAGTTATATAAGGAAGGTAATGAAATAAGAATGATGTGCATCCTAAGGAATACTAAAAATGACCCATAGCTTATTAAAAAAATGAAATGCTACTGAAATTTCACGCTTGAAAACTATATAATTATGATGTTCATGTGGATGTAATCTATTTAAAAAGATTTAAATGAGTTTCGTTGAATTATCCACATTTAAAATATACCCGTCAAATGGAGATTTTATATCTCATATGTTTTTTCTTTGGCATTTATTATTAATAAATCATTTTAAATATTTCTGCTACATAGCTCTCATCATATGGATGTTTTTTTAATTTTTATTATATATGAATAATATCATTATATAATTCATCAAAAGTGAAATTGTTTAAATCATGCATTTGATTTTTCACCTTTAATAGACATGATTTCCTTAATTTTACATTTGGGCATAAGCATAATTTCTGATTCAATATGATGTCATGCTCTTTTTACACATTCATAATCTAATTCTAAGTCTTAATCAAAATTATGTTGACGGGCATGTTCTATTGAAGTTGCAAAATTAGTTTCAAATTACACGCGGGCGCACGCACACACGCATATATATATTTATTTATTTATTTTATAACTACAAATTATTTATTATATTAAAAAAATCCCCAAAAATATTCATAACTATCATTTTTGCTGGGTCGAGTTCAATTATACTTGATTTTGGTCCTGGTACATCTTTCAAAAGCTTTGGATTAGATGCTATTGGGCTTTTTTTAGGAATTGGTACTACTGCAATATCTATAATAAAATGTTAACAGCGTATCTCAATGCCCCGATTTAGATGAAACCTCATGTTGCGTGTTTTGTCGAATTGCAGCTATGTTGTTCCTATTTTTTTTTCCCTTGTAGTCGCTGTAATTAAATAATGTAAACATAGATCATGTATCTGCAAGATGTGCGAACCATCCATAATATTTGGACTTGTTTGAATTTGGTTCCAATTTGATGAAGGAAAAATCAGGGGGTTTTAGTTTCCTCATGCAACTAATATGATGGATAATGTGATTTCATGCCAAAAAAAAAAAAAAAAAAGAGGAACGCGTTTAGTACTGTTATGATTTATATGTTATGATTTATATGTTTTAAAAATAAAAAATATAAAACATGTTTGGTTGGGTATTTTTTTTTTTTAAAGAAAAAAACTATACATTTTATAAAACGGTTCGTCCACGCGTGTTCTAGTATTAAGCTCCATCGCCCATGACATATACGACATTGTTTTTGCTCCACCCAATATGAAGCATTACCTATGGGCGGGCAGATGACAGACCAGAGGAGGCGGCGGCAGCGGCGGTGGGCTGGCGGGCAGGCGGCG